GTTCCAATCACTCGACATTAGATACTAGCTGTAAACATCAGCGTTAATCGCGATAATAGGACACTATAGTCTTTCATTAAAGAAGATGGTTCTTCCTAAATATCTTTCCGACGATGCATAAAATAAGTCTTATTTCAAATTTAACTTATTGAAATTCATGAACAAAGTTCCATCGCATAGATGTTAAAATACTTGTAACATATTAACAAACATGTTGGATATTTTTATTATTTAATATCGGTGATTCAGACATTACTTTTTGCCTTTTATTTTTTGCTTACTTTCATATATTCAAAATGTCAATAGATACTGGTAAATAGAACATATGCAAAATAGAAGTTTATTTCATGTTCACCGCTTTTGAGGACAGGCATTTACAGTAGTTGTCCTACAGTTGATTGTTTTTTAAAAATAGCCCGGATTTATGCTGATATAATTTCTATGTTATAGGGGTTCAGCTATCGCGAAAATTGTGGGCGCCAATGTTGTCAAATATAACAACAAATTTGAAACACGCGTGACAATGTATGTCTACGAAGAGATAGTGAATAGTCAAAAATTAACTGAAATTATAAATACGATGCACGAAAATGTCAAATACCTTCCCGGGCACAGACTTCCAGAGAATATTGTGAGTTTTTCCTATTATGCATTCTCATTAAACACGCTATAACTAACATTTACATTTGAAAATATCTCTTCATATCTTACTAACCATGTACATACTAAATATTTGTAAATACAGAAGCAAAAAAAAATGATAACGAAGTCGTCAAAAAAAATTAATTATCAAGACACGCATTACTTAGGAAGAAAAATAAAAACAGACAAGTAATTAGAATACACATACAAAAAACGAATCCTTCCGATCGCGAATACAATTTTCTGTTTCTGTGACGTTCACAAAAATAGAAGGGAAGTACCGTTTATAGGAAACCGTTTCTTTTGTTTAAATATGGCGGATTTCGTTTTATGATTACAACGAAGGGATTGCTGTAAATAATTTCGTATTTAGGAAGTCGCGCGTGCTACTAACAGAAATCTTCACCCCAAGTGACCATTATATGGGTCACGACGGTTTTGACTTACTAATCTATGAGTCACATTTGGCGCACGAATCTGTTTAGTACGGCCACGGACCTTACAGTTTATTCCCCTATGCATAGCGATGGGTATTCAAGTTGCTCGAACACGTTTGAATCTGCATTTATTACATTCGAGTAATGTTTAACACTAGAACCATCAGATGGATCAAAATGTCACATTCCTCATTTCTTCTTTCACAATTATTGAAAGCATACGAATGCTTGTTCGGGAAATGATTAACATAATTGATTTATTAATATACAAATTAAAATATAACTCAATTGATATGTAACGGACTGTTATGGTTTTTATAGAAAAATGTTTCAAAATCAATTCAAGTACTTGGTAGTTTTAATGTTAACACGTTCGTAACCAGCGTCACATATTTGTAATATTGCGTAAAGAAAATGAAATAACTTACACTAAATAATCTGTGTCTGTATCTAAAATTGTAACGCATGGTATAAGGTGTAGGAAATTGAGGTTTTTGGAATTTCATTTGCATTTTATTAAGACGATTCGTTAGCTTTAATCAAATATTGTTACTACGGAGATTGCTATTGAAACAACTGTTCGCGATCGTGTTAATTAACATTGAGAACTTGTTTATATTATTTTAAAATTATTATACTTAATCGCTGTAAAGTATACAATCGTGTATATGTCGCAATTAGCTTCTATTGTTATTAACACTAAGAATTGTGGGTAACTGGATATAAGTTAATTTTTCTGTTATAGGAGATACATATTAAATACAATAGTCCTATATTGAGATTAAATATAAAAATATTATAAATAATTTTCATTTAATATTTTAAAGATCCATTTAAAGACTTTATTTCGGTTCTCCATAACTGTTTCAGTTGGGACCGATATATAACAGTTTCAAACAATTATTTTCGGAATGAAATATGATTGATATATAAAAAGAAATATGAAAATACATAATGAATTGTTGAATTTTTAATTGATTTATGACATGTTTAACAGTTTTGGTTCTTTCATCCGATTATCCGAATAGTCACTTAGCCGAGCAGGTTTGTTCCCCAATTAGTTCGGATAATCACGTTCCACTGTAATTCCATTCACTGGACTAAATAACTTCAGTTCATTGTCATCCTCTTTCCTTTTTATTCGTGTAAGCATTCGTGGCCAAAAAAATATTCAACTAACTCCTTACCCTATGATTTATTTCTTAACCATGATCGACACAGCTACTTTATCATTAATAATTTATCGGGAAAAGAAATAATTTTGATACTTGTTCTATCTCTACGTTTACTCCAAAAGTTAACGATTGATAATAGAAAAGTAATATTTAATTTATATTTAAAGAAAATAAATAACATTTAGATTTCTCAAATGCAGTTTAAAATTTCCATCTTGAGTCTCACGCTGTCTAATTGTAAATCCCTATCATAAATCCTTTAAAGTCTGAACGACGTCTCGCCATTAGTCTTCGATATCAATTAAAACACGTTAATGCTAACGTACAAGAGCTCACACTTCGTCAGTATAATTTATGCATGCTTTTCACGCACGCTATAAACAAATTGCACGATTCTATGAGAAATGTAGATAAACTATTTTTCTGTGTTCTACTGTTAAATCAAACGAGCAATATTTCCTTATATCTAATTCCACTAATGTACAACATGGCAACGTTTATACTTAGCATGCTCGGAACTCTATTATGAATATTACGAGGAATATTACTATTTGTAGTAATGCGTTACAATGAATGTGTTAACATTTTTTATTTCTTATTATTTTATCACCTATTACGTTGTGAACTCCTCACATTTCATTTATGTCTCTTCCTTTTCTATACTAAAGGCCACCCATCAAATGAATAAATAAACAAAGAAACGAACTTTTCTGAGAATAGAATAATGTCCATTATCAAACTTTTAACGAACAAAAATTATTTTTATAAAAATAACCTGTAGCAGTATAATTTGCGATGTTTTTGAGAAGTCATTTACGGTATATTTGTTTGTTCTAATCTAAATAATTTTTATCTTTAATATTTGTTTCTATCGTTATTATTTTTCGCATTGTACGTAATTGAAACGCCTTTTCGCTTCGAACGTTGAAAGGCAACGTTTTACCTCACTGATGTGGATAATAAATATTTCAATGGTGTGCAATATATCACGCGCGTAAAGTCATGTGAGTAGTTAATATTCTCCCTCATGCTAAACGTGTAGTTATTTAAAAACTCTTCGAGTTAGGTAACATTGCGGTACGAAAAGAGAAAATATCACGCTTGAAAGAGTAATAAATAGAACAAGATTAAAGTTTCCAAGTTATTCTGAAAGCGGCTTTAGAAATGTATCGGTATTCACGTGTTAATGGAAAGTAAACATTTATTTAAATTTCACAATATGTTTGCACAGATAAGTATTATCATCAATATATCAGTCGTTCTCAAGACAAAATAAACAACTCCACTTTTCGAATACTTTCGATGTTTACTGTTAATATACGGGTTGCTGTAAAAGTTTTGGGAAAGAATGAGAGACATGAAATCAACCGAAAAACTATGCAGTACTGCATTGTACAGTAAAAAAAAACATATTTAACGGAGTTATATAGTATCTATAAAGAAAGGAGGAAGGGACAATAATTTGTTGTGGTGGATTTTCAAAGACTTTCAAAGTCACCTCCACTTAAATGTCACACTACACCCTTTATTTCTAGTAGAGTAGTGGATGTTTAGACAATTCCAACGAGCTCTGAAACAAGGTCATTCGACCATAAATAAAGCAGTAAAGCAACGAGTCTTACATCATAAGAAATGCTCGGAATTACCTTTATGTCTCGTTCCTTTTAACCCCTTGTCCTATAATTAATTTCTTAACTATGATTAATACAATTACCTTATCGTTAATAATTTATTAGGAAAAGAAAGAATTTTGATGCTTGTTCGATGTCTATGTCGATTCCAAAGGTTGAAGATTGATAATAGAAATGTAATATTTAATTTACATTTAAAAAAAATAAATGACACTTAGATTTCTCAAATTCAGTTTAAAATTTCCATCTCGAGTCTGACACGATATTGTAGGTCAGGGGATTAAAGATTGTTTAACCCTATTTAAATACAATGGATTCTGATTTATCGAAATTGCTTTTTTGGGCAAATATTGAAAAAAAACTAAGTATATAGTACCTATTAACACATTCACAATCGTATATAATTTCCTAAAGTTTATTGCTAAATACTGCAAAATTCGATTAATCAAATCTGTATGAATACAAAAAATGTATGATGAAATAAAGGTAAAAATAATAAACTCCGTTGATAACGAAATGTTTCTGCTTAAAAATTTAAAATAACGTAGACCTGCATTGGCAGGATTTTAATTAAACAATTATAAATGATGTAGGACTATGTTACCGGTATTTTTATAAAAAACAATTATAAATGACCTAGTATTTTACAAACAGTCGCAGTAACCTGCTTCATCACTCCAAAAAAATACTTTACTATCGAAGTCAATGTTAATTTCTCATTAGCTCGAAACAAGAATGTTTTGTACTTGCAAAATATCATAAATAATCGCAGTAATTTATAGCAATATGTCAATTTCAGGTTGCCGTGCCTGATGTCGTCGAAGCTGCGAAAGATGCAGATATCCTAATATTTGTAATACCTCACCAATTTATACGAACATTGTGCGCAACGTTACTAGACAAAATTAAACCAACAGCAGTTGGTATATCATTAATTAAGGTATACATATTCGAACGAATTTAACACGATTATATTTCAGTGAATACATTATAATGAGCATATTTGAATTTATATTTAGGGTTTCGATCGAGGAGATGGGACGAACATCGAATTAATCTCTAAAATTATTGAAAAACATTTGAGAATTCCATGCTATGTACTAATGGGTGCCAATTTGGCTAATGAGGTTGCTGAAGAAAAATTCTGCGAAACTACTATTGGTAATTGCTATTTAATTACAATCATAGTTTCTAGATTTTTACATCCTTTTTAAACTAATCAGTGATCGGATAATGTCCCGATTGATATCTCTATAGAATATATTTTAATTCAAATTCTGTCTTATAATAAACTTATTAAACATTCGATTCTATAAAACTTCTACTTAACTTTTTATTAAATCATTTCATTTTTTTTAATTAGGTGCACTTCGATGTTAAATAATAAATAAACGAACTGATTATCATATTATTATTTATCATAACTCTTAACTGTTTTAGGTTGCAAGGATAAACGTCTAGCACCATTATTAAGAGACATGATTCAAACACCGAATTTCAGAGTAGTAGTCGTAGATGACTGTGAAGCCGTTGAAGTATGCGGTGCACTAAAGGTACGTACATTACAAAAAGAACTATTTTTATTGAAATGAATTTTTTTTAATAAATTCATGGATATGTATTACAATCTGTATTTCAGAACATTGTTGCTTGCGCGGCTGGTTTTATAGATGGTATGGGATTAGGTGACAACACAAAAGCAGCTGTGATCAGATTAGGCTTGATGGAAATGGTTAAGTTTGTAGATACATTTTATAGTGGTTCAAAGCTATCAACATTCTTTGAAAGTTGTGGTGTAGCAGATTTAATCACCACTTGTTATGGTGGGCGAAATCGCAAAGTTTGCGAACAATATGTTAAATCTGGCAAAGTATAAATCATTTTATCCTGTATCTGCATTTATTTTGTATTCCACTATTAAGTATTAACGAACTTTTTCAATAAAATATTTTCATCTCTTTCTAACAGACAATTAAACAATTAGAAGACGAACTTTTAGGTGGACAAAAGTTACAAGGTCCAGCCACAGCCGATGAAGTCCACGGAATGTTGAAAGGTCGTAACTTATTGGAGAAATTCCCTCTGTTTACTGCGGTACATCGTATTTGTACGGATCAAATAAGACCAGCAGATTTACTTGACCAAATTCGTAATCACCCCGAGCACGGGTTAGTATATATATTTTTCTTTATTATTTAAAATGAAATTTTCGTCAATAACATGAAATTAAAACATCATCTTACAATTAGGTTTGCGCCGAAAACGTTATACATGTACTAATCATTACACTCATATTTTAACTTGAAATGATCTTAAAACTGTTCTAACGAGCAAAAACTCCCAAATATATCGGGACAAAATACCTAAGAAACGCGAAGCATCTTCGTACACTTTTCATTCGTGAAAACATAACATTTAAAATAACAAAAAACGTAAGTTGTTATCATACATAATTTAATTAAATTATTTTATTGTTAAAATATATTGATTTATTTGTATTTTGCAGGATGAAAGTAGAAGGTGCTGAAGAAGCATAGACACATGCTAAAATATTTTCATATTATGCTCAATGTTAGAAATGTTATATTTGACAACAATTAAAATCAAATAAATTGATATTATTGATCCAAATAAACTCATGATAATTTATTATTAATTCTTATAACAAGACAACAATTGTTCTTGAACACAAGTGTATAAATGTACTATAAAATATTGAATAAAAAGTTAAATTCGATTCTTAAATTAATGTTCAACTTTTATTATACATTTCTAATAGAATTTAAAAATCTTTTATAATTTATAAACAAACAGTCATTAAATAAGTAACAATTATTTATTATTTTGAATTACTTTTTGTAGTTGATTTTATATTACAATTACCATTAGGAGATTGCTGATTAGAATCCTGGTAAGATGCATTGTCCACCAGCTTATCTGGTGTGATACGAAGTGCTGAAATTACAAAATGTATTTAGTAATCAAATTGAGAATAATAAAATACATTGTAATCTTAAAAATATTACCAAACTTTCCTGGTTCCTTTTCAACTGCTTGTATTACAGTTGTCCGAACTTCATGTTCCACTTCCTCAGCAAATTTGTTCAACTGAAATAATACCAACACTATGGTCAATTTATAAGACTATAGAAAGACTATATTTGATTCTTGAAACTATAGGTTACTAAAATGAATAGTATCAGTTTTCTCTGTTTTTATTCTATAGGTTATGAACTTATTTATACAATAAAAAAATTTGTATGTAATAACTGTTTGTAAATATCATAACAAGTGTACAAGCAAGACACAATTAATAGATATATAAAAAACAGCATAGATTTTTTGCATATTACATGAATTCCTTCACAACTATTCAGCATTCAAGAACTAAAGAGATTTAAATAAAATAAAATTATTATATGAAGTTTACCTCTTCAATAGCAGCTGTGTTTGTAACATTCTTATATTTCTTATATTCTTCGTTAATCTTGTTTCTTGTAACTTGAATGATATTTATTAAAATATTAATAATTTTAATTATATCTGAATGATTATAATCTATAATTTACCTGTTAATGCAACTTCATCCCCATTAAAAGTATTCATTCGGGTTCGATGTAGTTTTTTAAATGTAGATAACACCTACAGAAAAAATAATTCAAAACAGAAAAATTCATTATTTTCTAATGTAAACATATAAAAACATAATCTACTGAAACCATGAAAAGAATTTTAAAGGTTTTAAATTTTTTTCATAAAACTAATTTCAATCAAATATTTCTAATTCATCATTTCTTATTGGAATTGATTATAAGGTACATAAAAATTCTCAACAATTTTTTGTCAAGGAACTTTATGAACATGTTTAATAATATAAGTAGGTATTCAGAACTGTAACACTCACCTGTTTACGAAGATTATCTCCCATTTTTTTATATAAATAAATTTCCTAGAGAAACTGACAATACTTTTTATTTATTTATCGTGTATTCTAATTATAAAAATTTCATAATTAATTTTGATCATTATTACTATTTAATAATGTATCCGCATGTAACAGGACAACATAGTATAATTACGGTACTTAAATACACAACATATTTACAGAAGCAAAGTTTATACTAAACATAAACATTAGTATTCCTAAATCGAGGTATACTTAAGTACATACCTATTTACTTATATAAGGTATTACCATATTACTTTTGCAGAAACGATGATCTGTGACAGTGGTAATTCAGATATTCAATAGATGTCTCTAAACTGGCGGGACAAGAAACAAAGATTTGGCGGAAAAACCGTTTTTCCGGTGCGTAGTGTAAAAGTGAGAAATAGGGGAGAAACACGAAACGGACTGTATGTTGCTTAGTATTTATTTTTATTTGGACGTATGGATGGTAATAATAGACATAGATGTAAAAGTTCTTGGTGATGAAGTTGGTCATAAAATTGGCAACCCGGTTAATGCTGACTTTAAAAATGATTCTAAACCAGCACAATCGGTACAAGCAGTACAATCGGCGCAGTCTCCATCTCAACAAACAAAATTGTACTATAATTTAATAAAATAACTAAAATAATCCTTGTAGATAAAAACTAATCACAAGTTATATTGTTACTTTATTAGATTACTTACAAAAACATATCACGAATTCAACTTCCACGAACGATATATCAACAACTCCAATTGTTGCGCTGAGTTTTTATGAAAATACGCAAGTTTAATATAATTTTACTCTATTTTTGTAACACCGAAGTAATCTAAATGATAGTACATTTCACAGATGGGTAATAAAAGCATGAATTTTTCGTAAATCTGGTATCAGAATATGGAGCAACTCATGTGGTGAAGGAAAATTATTTTACATGATTGTGTAAATACTATGATATGCTTGAGGTATGATTTTTGTTGGTTCTTATTATATATACTTGCATAATATTAAATGTAATCTTGTAGATGAAAGCAATACATGGTAGATCTTCGTTTAACTATCAGAGAAGAAAAAATGAATAGTAACATTTCATAAATTTATAGGTATGCCTTATACTGAGGAGTTCATAAGTTGAAGATTCTGATGAGTCCATGAATCTGCTTATGGCAATAAAAGAAGTTTGAGTTTGTGAATTGAAATATGATGAAGAATTCCCCAATTATAGATATCATTTATTAGCTAATGTAAGTGTGCAAATGTTTTCACCTTTTACAATGAACAAGATTTGAAATGGAATTGATTGATTTTTATTTGTAGGATGAAAAGAGGTTGAAAGCAACTTGTCTCAGTATATCCCTGGTGGATTACCAAGTCTATAAAATGACCACTTAATAACTTAAATCAAGAAACTAGCTTTTATTGTATATTATCTATGGTCATTGAATGTAACTATTTTTTTGTTGAGGTGGAGACTGCATGTGACTATTATCACCATCACGTCTAGATAAAGATACATGCATAATAAATTATAAGTTTGTTTTACAATTTTATCAAAAAAATATCCTACCTTCAAATAAGATAAACCAATAGAATAAGATAGGGTAAGATGGAATAACACAAAAATTTGTAACCTGTTTTAAAAACTGTTAAAAATAATCTGGTAGATATATTAAAGCGTTAGGTATTTTATTAAGAATATATTACATACTTTTGCATTTCAGTTTTGTTTACCATGTTTATGGCATATCTATTTATTTGACAAATAGAAAACTTAGTATATAATCTGTGATCATTGAATTTAACTAATAAGGAGAGGGCCTTAGGGTAGTGTTATATGTTAATTAACTCTATATAACTAAGTAACATATAATAGTGAAAAAAACATGATTCATAATATTTATTATATCAAAGTGGTATCTTAAATAGCATTCAATTACAAACCGATCAACTTTTATCACTTGTCTATTATATCCTTGTATTGAACTTCCTTCTTCGATTGACATGCTTACACGTTCCTAAATACATATCATGCAATCATTTAAAATGATTTTCTTTTCTTTAACAATTATTTGGAGATGTTTTGGTTTATACAGTCATTTTTAATGGAAATTTTTTTATAAAAAGTAATCAGCTTGAGGCTTTTTACTAGGTATTCCTCGACTTTCTTGTGGTGCTGCTTCAAATATCGTGAAATCTCGTTGAAGGTGTTCATTTAATTCTAATATTGCGGCTACATTTCCACATCTGTGAAAAAAACGTCGTATTTACAATTAATTATTTAGTAAATTGTAATTATATAGTAATAATAATCTTATAATAATCGTACATCTTAATAATATTAAAGAATATATAATAGATTAATATTATTTGTGAAAAATCTTATAAAAACATTATACAATAAGTTTTAATATCTAATTTCATGAAATTTTTCAAAAAAGTCATGATTTGAAGCTACAAAGACATTGAATAGTTTATACAACATTTGATAATTCAAATTAAATTCAATTGTACAATATATATTTATAACATTGTTCCAAAATTAATTTGTAACACATTATGCGACTTCTTACTCATCTAAAGTGAATTTAAAAACATTAAGGAAGTTACCCATAACTTATCTACTAATTTAAAATTATACACTTTCTGTGTAATTGATTACACTTAAAATATATCCATTTAAAAATCCTATATTATTTAAAATTTTTAAAGATTCATATACCTGTAACAGTAGTTAGGTGCAGACCAAACAGTCAAAACAGTTTCATTAAAATGCCATTTATATCCTTCCATAACTAATTGATGTGCCCTACATATCATATCAATATCATTTGCGGAATTAAACTGAGCTACAACATCACTTCCAAAGAGATAACCAGCTCCACGTGGTGAAACCCCCCAACCCTGAGTATCTTCAGGATCTGACCAAAGTAAATCACACATTGGTCCATCATGTGGAACCTATAAAAATTTCTTACTTTATTTTCAATATAATGGATTAAAGCGTTTGTAAAAGTGTAAGGCAGAGTATATTCCTTTTGTTACATCTTAGGGAAAATTACCAAAATTGTTCTTATACTTACAAATGTTTATAGATGGTCATACATAAGAAGTTAATATATTTAAATATGTTTCTCACTTACTTCTTGTTTTCTATCTATAGTTCTTATTTGATCAAGTGTCTGAATGCTTGGTGATAATCCTCCATGAACGCAAAATATTTTCCCATCGATGATAGCAGAAAGAGATAAATAGTCAAATATTTCGGTACACCATCGCCAAACTGAATTGGTACCATATTTACGTAAGCATTCATCATAAAAGCCATATACTTGAGTAATTTGCCGGGACTCATGATTTCCTCTTATCAATGTAATCCTATCAGGATAACGAACCTGCAAGTAGCTTTAAATTAATGCCTATAACCGTACAAATTTATTGTCTATTTAAGTTTATTCTTTATAAAAAGTTCACAAATTTATATTACTATAATATTTTTGTTTATTACTTTTAATGCCAAAAGAAGAAGGAATGTTTCAACGCTATAAAAACCTCTATCAACAAAATCACCCATGAACAAATAATTTGTTTCTGGCACATCTCCACCAACTTTAAATAATTCTTTTAAATCATAAAATTGACCATGAATATCTCCGCACACCTAAAAATAAAATGCATTTTTGTAAGTTATGATTAAATATTTTGACCTTCTTTTTGAAAAAAACATACCGTAACTGGAGAATCAACTCTCTGTACATTACTTTCTTCAATGAGAATTTCTCGTGCTTTTGCACAAAGAGCTTTAACTTCAACTTCTTTAATAATTTCACATTTTTTTAGCTGTTCTATTTGCCGATCCAAATCACTGGAATCAGCCATTTTAAAAGCTATCTTTTGCTAAAAATTATATACATTATTAAAACCAATTATTCAATATATTATATTGAATTTATTTAGTATCAATTACATATAACATTGTATTTGATCTATTATTTAACAAATTTTTTAATTTCAATAATACAGAGACTCTACATTACAAACAATCATCTGAAGACTAGAATTCTAAATGTTTTTATTTTGTTATTACTTTTAAAAGTTGTCATTGAATAATAAAATTGAACAATGAAATAAAAATATGTTCAATATATGTTATGCCAATATTAAATTTTTATTTATTCATAATATACTATGTATATATTTCATTAAACACAATAATATAATGTTATGAAAACTGTCTCAT